GGTACGCGCCGCCTTGCTCTACCAGCACAGCTATGGCGGACTTCTTCTTCAGTGATGGCGAACTTCAACTATGGTGCACTTCGACTATGGCGCCCAACTTCAGCATGCGGCGGCAACGATGGCGCATGAGATAGTGGGTACCAGCTCTGATACCAATGCAATCAGACTCTCTTTCTTTTCCACTTCGCAGTCATGCAAACAGATGGTGAATCACACTGGCGCACAGCACCCACTCAAAGATCGAAGATATGGAAGTCGAAACACAGTTCAGATGCAAGCTCGCTTCAACAGGCTATGGGGCAGTAGCGCCTGTACAACTCAACTCTCGTCACTCTGGCCAACACCACTGCTCGCACTCACTCACTCTGGATCACCCTGGATATCCCACATGCATACACACACTCTCGTACTCATACACTCGCCTATCAGCTATGGCGTAAATGGCCGCTGTCCCTCTCCTAGCTATGTCTAACTATCTCCTTCAGCCCACTTCGTCTTCGGGCACTCTGCAGACCACCTCGCACAAGCCGCTCAAGCAGCGCTTCCGCATGGCTTACGCAGGAATGAATGCATGGCTGGGTGCTCCCTCTTAATTTATACTTCTGTTCGCTGCTGGTCTGCCCCTTTTCCGCCGGGCCCCTGGTGTACACAGTCCATACGGTACTTGCTGACTGGACTAAGTGCGACTGGGACTGGGTACCGCTGACTCAGCAAGGGTGGACTTCACCACTTGCCCACTTGCCTCTAGTCTGCTGTGAGCAACGTTGGAAGGGCCACTTCCAGACCTTCCGGAAGTCTGTGGACTTGGCCCTTCGACACTGTAGCAGCTACGACCTTGACCTTTCAGGACTGTAGCAGCTACGAATTTGAACTTTCAGAAGAGCTACAGCTATGACTTCTAGAACTCGCTAAGACCTCTACCCGACAGGTCTACAGATCGAACCCCTACAACCTACGGACCTACGACAGCCTACCAACTGTTGCGAATACACAGGTCACAGGTTCAACTCTCGGGGTCGACACAGGTACTGTACACATGTAAGGTAAGGACTAGGGATCGAGCCCTGGGATCTGGATTCGCTACTGCTAACAGGTGAATACCGTTTCACTAACTAGACAGGCCTTGCCGTGGACCAAGATGGCCTTGGATAGCATAAGGAACTTGGCACCTGTTAGGACCCCTCCCAACATGAGCGGCCTGTTCTGGATAATGGCCAGAGAATGGTCAATTGGGACAGGAAGGCCTCGAAGGAGTACCCTACCTCAATCACCGGAACAGGTCACCCCGACCCCAACCCCATACTGGAAGCCAACCCTAAAGGCCTGGCGCCGACTCATGCCATGTAAACTCGGCGCTCCTAACAGCAAAGAGGAAGTGCTCAGACAACCCCTATTCTGCAACCTATGGATTACGGACACAGAGGGCAACCCCTGGACCCTGCACCCCAAACACCGGAGATGGTTGTCCTGGCTATAAAAAGGGGTATGGCAGGTCAAACACCTATGGTCAGAGGAACTAAGGGATTGGGCAGCAGAACAGGAGATGTGAATCCCTCTGAAGGGATGCCACTCTCTCGAAACCAATATCTATCTGGTACGACAGAGCATCCCTCACCTATGGATAGCCCTGCTGAAAGAAGAGTTCACATGGAAAGCCGGGGACTGGGGCCTACTTATCACTCAGGTCCAACCCAGGAGAGTGTACCACTTCATCAGTCGCCTCACGGGAACAAGATACCAGGCCAAGTTTGTCTCGTACCCGACTGACAGTTAGAACCTCCAGAAATCAATAATTCGAAACTCTGACCCTCAGGTTGAGATCTTAGAAACTTTCACACTCAGGAAGGTCAGGGTCCCTCAAACTAAGCCATGGGTGATCTTCCAACCAGAACACAGCATCAAGGACTTGGAATTCGACCCCAAGGAGTGGGTCTGGAGACAAGACAAAATGAGCAAAACAAGAACAATATTTGAATACGACGTTAAGTTCGGATACGATCTTGGACTGCAAACGGCGAACCCGAACCCCGAACTGATAGAGAAATGGAGAAAGCTACTTCAGTCAACCCAACAGTATATTTCACCATTCCATGGGCGAAATACCTCCCCATCAGACCGGTAAGAATCTGTAGCATGCAATGGCTGATAGCCCACGTGGCCCTACCTGTCAATCCGTGGCTCCACAAAAGGAGAAAACACTCAGATGTTATGATCCTGTCCAATTTCGAAGTACACATTCATGAGAAAGTACAATGCCGTCCAATTGCAAAAAGAAATGAATGAACTTGAGAGGAGAGAGAGGGAAAGAAGAAGAAGAAGATGTGTACACCAGCAATGACCAATGATAATTCCCTTCTTCTTCGCCAACCACTCTCCTCCTCCTTATCTCCTCCCCTCTTATTCAAACAAGAAATAATAATAATAATAATAATAATAATGTTTAATGGCTGAACCAGAATCAATGCCCGAATCCCTCTTCTACTTCAGGTACAACATGAGATCCACCATAGCCATGGCCACCTTCCTCCTTCCTCTTCCTGAAGGCCGAGGCTATGGCGGACTACCAGGGCATTGCCCTGCTGTGCAAAGGACAACACAAAGCAGCTATGGCTGCTCTTGTTCAGGCCGCCATGCCTGACTCTGCTTCGAAGCTTCTTGGTGCAGCTCTACCCCAGCGGGACCTTCCAGATGCAGCGTCGACCAAGGTGGTGAAGATGGCATCCACCATAGCCAGATAGTACCTCTGGCCCCCTCCCTCTTCCTAGTCCTCATCTTCCTCCTCATCCAGCCCGTGCTCCTCCAGCATAGCCGTGGTGGAGAGCTGGGCGCTCTGTCCTCCCTGGCAGCGCTGCTCCAAGCAGCGTTGCTCCAGCCAGCGCTCCAAGCAGTGTGTCGCCAAACTTGCACACCGAAGAATGAGGAGCACCATGACACCCATCATCAAGAAGGACAAGACAGATTGAACAACAGTAGCAGGGCTGACCCTCCTGTGCTTCTTGTGAAGCAAAGCTTATCAGACACGACCGAACACGGCTCTGAGAGGAATAGCAGAAAAAGGGCAAGCTGACAGTCAATCCTCCATCAGGGAGTAATCAATGCTGGTCAGGGTTCCTTTGGCCATACGGAAGGAAGCGTGAGACTGCTCACCATGTACTCTATTCTTTGACTTGCCGGGGGAATAGTAACCGGACTGATGATCCCCAGAATGGACAAGGAGCCAGGACCATAAGGACCTGTTAAAAAATATAAAAAATAAAAAATAATGTAAGACAATCAGGCAGGTTCACTGTCAGCTGGCCCACTGAAAGAGAGTCCGCAAGGGTTGTCTTCAGTACAGTTCACAGTGGACGGTGAACACTGGGCTGCTATTTGTCAGATGAAGAACAAGCTACCTGGTCTGTTTTCTGGATCCAAGTAAACCAGGCCATTTTTGCTCTTCATCTTCGTAAGCAGTGGAGAGAGGCGGTCGTGAGTGGAGGAAGGTGCTTGTGAGACTGACATTTGTCTGTGGATTCTGCACTTTTCTCTCTGTGTGATCATCTTCTATGCTTGATTTTCATCCCTGCATACAGTTATGCACCTAAAGCATTCAGACAACATGCACCAGCTGAATTCTCTGTGTTTTCTACGGAGCTTTTAATTACTTGTTTGTGGTATGTATGCGCTGACATTCATGTGATCAGTGGGTGAAAAACTTCAGGTTTATTCCACTTTTCCTTCGCTCTAGGTGCTCTTCATTTGCATAATACAACTTACTGCTGCACACTTGTTTGAATCCTGTATTCAGATGACAACTTTCTGCAGAAGTTCCTGAGCGGGATGGGGCGATCTGCAAGTGGTACCATTCTTCAGCCTTTAAGGTAAGCTGGTGACACCATGCCCGTGAGCAGATGCAGAAATTTTGAACCTCTCTTCCCCCACCCCTGAGCCCCCTCGGCCTCTCTAGGCCGCGGCCACTTCAGGGCAGTTTGGCCCTGACATGACAAACTGGGGAAACTGCGAGAGAAGAATGAAGTAGAAACCAAGACGAACAAAAAGCAAGAGACTACGAAAAATGCGTTATTTAACTTGTTTTAGATTTATTACATAATGATGCTGTTTTCTTGCCACCCCAAACTGTCCGCAATCTCTTTTATGTGACGATCATTCCTCTGGCCCCATGCTGCAGCAGGGGAATGTACCAACACTCTGTGACCTTCTCCTTTGCACAGCTACAGATACTGTGACACTCGGCTGTAGCCGCCATCATCTCTGTCACAATCACTACAATTACATGGGTTCTGCATCCATGTGTGTAGAGGACTGTCCCTCCATTCCTGATTGCAGGCACCCTCCGCATCCGGACACTATATGTCCATTTTTGGGCGCTATACTGAATGCATGGTCTCTTGTAGTGAGTGTTCTTCCTTCATTTTGGCCTGCAATCGACATGCCATTTGTTGGCAGTGTATATGCTCAATGCCAACCATCGTGGCAATTGTTGTACCGAGAATGCTCAGCTAGGTCTTCCATGTGCTCATCCATCTCATCCTTACACTGTGTGTCCTCTCTGCCGTCAAGGACAAACTCATTCTTGAGCCTTTTCTTATCCTCTCCTTTGCCTTCATCTTCATTCCACAACCCGTACTTTCCCTTACTTTCCCTTTTTCGTTCTTTGTTTGTCTTCTCTTCATCTCTCTTCCCTGTGTTTATCACCTCCCCGTTTACTCTGCCTCTTTCTCACAACGCACAAGTGGGCCGTTATGGCACACGGGGATGCGCCCAGCTCGTGCTCAACTTCATTACCGTGGCGAGCCTTGTACGTGAAAGACACGGTGAAGGGGGAGTTAAAAGAAGAATGAGAAAAATGAATGGTTTCAGTGTGCCTCTAATGTTTGTCATGTTCTTTTTATCTTTATCGTTTGTTTCGCAAAGTGCGCTCTTTTAGTTCACAGTTATGTGGCAATATATTGCGGGGTGCCGACCGACACCGACCGGTAGGTGCCAATCAGTGGAATGGTCAGTTGGTCGGCGCCCCTGGATTCGGCACCGACCACCGACCAGTAGGTGCTGATCAGTGGAATGGTCGGTTGTTCGGCTCCCGACCAATCCGGGGTAGCCGACCGTCGGTGCAACTACTCTGGTTAAAGGAGCATATGCCCGAAAGCTACGAGGGTTCAGGGCTAGCGTACCGAAATGGCTTGCGTCACCAACCAAAAGGGAAAAAACATTCTTGTCAACACCGCGTATTTTGAACTTGGCACACAACATGATTTCTGGTCGGAAAAGACAGCCTTGGGCGTAGTGGTGGTTTACAATACCTAAACATCTCCTGGACTGACTGACTGCATAAAGATGACACACACAAAGTCAACATGTGGTCCTAATTAAAAAATAGTAAGAAAAACAAAGGGATTCTGAACAGAAGCCTGACGTTCAACATTTATCATCTTGCTATCCTCTGTGCAGTACCGACTCTCTTCTAGTCGTTTGACTGCTTCCCACCAGCCTAACAAGACCTATCTGTGCCCCATGCTCCTCGTAATGTTTCCGAGTGCCTCTACATTGAGTGTTGCTCTTCTGCTAAGAACCCGAAACCCTAAACCCTGAACCCTAAGCCCTAAACCCTAAGCCGTAAACCCTAAACCTTGAAGTTGCTTAAACCCTAAGTCCTAAACCCTACAGCCTTAACCTATCATCTCTAGTTTCCGAGTTGTATTAGCCTCCCTGCTAAGGTACGATTTTACTTGTTAGGCCCAAATGTCCACTCTGTGTGACGGTGTTCTCACTTCACTAACTTTGTGGTTTTTGATGGGTCCAAATTTGACCTATTCGCCTGTGCTATTCCCCATGATGAAAGTCAAGTCTGTGGTTTTTCCTCCAGCAATGCAACTCTTCATCCACGCTAGCCATTCCTCTATACTTTGCCAATATCTTCTCAATCTCGCCGTTTGGATGAGACATTAGTTCCTCATCTGCTTGCGCTATCTGGTTCATTACCTCACCTTCCTTCTTCAGCAGAACCTTCTTGCCCACTTCCTTTTCATCCATCCCCTAGATGTCAGGCAGTCCCTGAGCTGTCCAGATCCAGATCTGTACGTCCAAACCAGTCAGCCTGCTAGATGTCCCAGACATCAGGGTGCGTAAATTTTCTGTGACTGTCAAAAAGGAAACAAATTCTCTGAAAAAGAAGAAGTGTAGACTTACCCATATAGAACTGAGAGTATCCTTGGGGCCCAAGTTGGGGGGATGTCATAATCTGCAGGCCAACCTCAACGGCATTCTGGTGTCGATTCCTCAGCAGTGGCTGCAACTCCTAAGAGGAGGAGCGCACTGGCATCAGGGAGATTGGGCAACGTGGCAGGAAGAGAAGACCCCAGCCACGGCAATGGCCTACATCACCAAAGAGGGGCCCGGTGAAGCCTGGCTAAGAATGGCAATCCACACCATCAAAGACCCAGGAGCTACCCTCAGTTCACTGGATAAAAAGCTGGATGCCGAGGTGACACTAAAAGAACACCTGCGTAAAAGCAGGGTAATAGAAAATGATGAATACAGCATGTTCGCTCCTGCCACTCCGATGCATGAGCTGGAGTTTGACCCCACCGAGTGGGCATGGAAGCTCAAATCAGGCAGTGTGAGGACTGAACAAAACTGGAATATTATTCAATACATGACTAGACTGCGTTACAGATTGAGAAGAAGACAAGCACTTACACCTACCCTGTGCCAAAGATGGCAAGAACACCTGCAAATCTCCCTGACTGCATTTCCGTGAATCCCCTGAAACTCCGTTTTATCCATCAGGGACATCATCCACCTTGCTCTCCCAGACAGCAGTTGGCTGAAGAAGAGGGGAAGACCCAGGCAAACTAGGGATCACCTCAACGAGCTGTGTGCCTTGTGTGACCTGCCGGCGGTGGGAGATGTGCGACAGTGCCTGCTTACACACCCATGCAGAGCAGATCTGGGAAAGAACAGCTCGATTATGGGAAACTGTTATGGGCGAAGCCCTACCTGAAGACCACCTGACAAGATTGAAAGACTTTACACTGCCAAGTGGCTGGGAACCATGGGAACTCAAACCGTTTCAACTTTCAACAAATGAGGGGGTACTCCCTCTGGGCAGGGTGGAAAAGAAGATGTCAAGAAACAATAGGGACGATCGAAAATCACAGACAAATTTGTTCGCACAACAGGCAAAATAGCGGAAATAAACGAACAATACCTAAAATTCAACTGGGACACGGGTGGGAGCCGATACATGCCTCCTGCTCCAGCAAGAGGAAGAATCCTGGCACATCATCTTGTGCATCGATCCGCCGTAACAGTTTCCCGGCCTGGACACGACAAGGATGTGGATGAACTCAGGAGTGAACGGTGATAACAGTGGCAAAACATTAGAGCATCACAGAAAAGGGAGCTCGCATTTGCAACTGCAGAACATGCCTGCAATGGGACGACCACACAACCGTCGGAAGCCAAAAGGGGATGGCTTTGGCAGAGAATCGGTCAAGGGCGTTCCAAGACCTCCTTATCAGGCTTACGGGAGGGTGTTGTGGCATAGATATGCAGGGAATAGGGGTGACAGACAATGCTGATAGGGCTCAAGGCCCTGCAAGCGTGAGGCCTTTTTCCGTATTGCGGACAGGAACTCGGGAAGGAGAGGGGAGGCCTCCTGGTCCATGCTGGGTATCGAAATAGATTTCCTGCATGGCACAATCAGCAGTCCAGGGAACATCGGGGTCAATTCCCACCAGCTGGTTTATGGGCCGAGCGGCAGAATTACCGTTGATCCCTGCTCGGGGTGGGTTAATCAATACCGCAATGCAATAACGATTGTCGAGGTTCAGCTGGTTAGCTGCATTTTGTGCTTTTCCGATTGCCTGGGCGGTCAATCCCCTGAAGTCTCCCAGGGCAATCAATGGTGCCGGAAACTACAGGTGCTGGACCCGTTCTCCAGCAGGTGTTGCTCCCCACCCATAGACAGGAGCCGCCAACCAGAGGTGCTACTGGGGGATGCTTGTATCACCTCTGATGGTATGCCGGACACAATTGGAAAAAAAAGAAAGTGTAGACTTAAACAGGGACCGGACTGTTACTACCCAGAATAAAAAGGAGCCACTACCGCAAGCCCCTGTCTGGGGGAGGGAGGGGGGGGAGGAAATTGTGTACAATAATACAGTTGCAAAGGGCGGCCTCCAAATCCCTTGCCAAATCCCAGACAAAAATGAAAAAGGATTTTTTTATGCAGTAATACGCACCCCTGTAAACCAGCATCGCTCTACAGCCCTTGGGATCATGGCATTGCAAATGCGGCGACAGTCACGCTCGGCCTTCCACACCACCTAAGGCTGCAGCACCCAGTGGCCCCAACCCCACAACCGGTTGGTAGCCCAGGGGTCAGGGATGCCTTTTGACAAAATATTTACATATGCACTTGTGGTTTAAACTCCAAACCCTTTTTAACCACCCTTTATACCTCCTCAGAATCCAGACCCTCATTGAAGCCGAACTCGCTTTTCGGATCCATTTGACATGTGCAAATTTTAATTTGCAAAAACAATCTACTGACCCCAGACTGAAAAGATGTCTCCCTGGGAAGTGAAGGGTTCCCCAACTTCCCCAGCTTGATGGTCCAGGACGAAAAGGATGGTAACCTCACTGTCTTTATATTTCCTATTCTCTTGTCGCTATTCTTCATTTCTTTGTCCTTTTCTCCCTGCACCTCCTCCTCCCTCCCGTTCCATCATCATCGCTTCGTCCTTTTCCCTCCCCTCTCCCTTCGTCCTGCCCCTTCTTTCGCCCTTTAGACTGCGCTGTCCATTGTACGCATCTTGTCGACACGTGTGGCTGACCAGATATGGTAGCTGGGAGTGAT